AGAGTTTTCTACAGTAAAACAGCTGCTACCTGAGCCCATCTGTGAGGGGGCGAAAGACCCCTGGCTGCATCAATGATTCAGCCGTACACTTTTTAATTTATTATTTCACCAGCGCTCAGTGCCCCTGCTGCAGTATATTTATTGGTGCGAGCTTCTGAGGGAAGCGTGCTTTCAGGTCGTTTGTTCGATTTCATCCCGGAATTTGAAAGTAAGCTGCGACTGCGTGCTCCATCCCCGCCAGCATTACCCGCAACAAAAGCCGGCTGCTCGTCAAATCGTGAGGTTTGTTGCTTGATTTTGGTGACCGAACAATTTTGTAGTATGTTCGATACAGGCATTTGCCACAGGCACTAGTTTCGATGCGACATGAACAGCTGGTTTACCGGGCTGATATCGTGATAACACTGCACTAGTTCAGATGTTCTGGCTTAATCCGGTTTTGAAATTTCAGAAAATCAATCCGGGATCGATGTACAACGTAAAGTTGGAGGATAGCACCGAGAGAAACAAGCTTTGCGAATACACTTGGGTTCCAACCACTGATAAAGTACTGGCCGAGAAGTACTTCAACGCTTTGCCGAAGAACGAACGTCCCATCGTGGACACAGAGGGTGCGCTGGATCGTCGACATAAGCTGCAGTATCAGGTCTCTTCTTAATACATGATTTTTGCAATTCGCCTGACTAGGCATACGAATCCTCGCAAAATCACATTGTAAGTTAAGCGCAGCATTCAAATCCATGAAATAGCAGTCTTCAACTCTCTGTTGGCTTGGGATGAGCTGAACAGTGGGCGTCTTTAGTAATATTATCTCAGACTGTGGTAATTCGTTTTTTTTCAAACAGCTTAAATTTAGGTACGCTTTTTTATGAGCGTTTTCAGCCTTAAAAATGTTGCTGAAATTACGCATAATTCGCTTGTACTACTAAATTTCCATTGATCTGAACCTGATTCAAAAGCTGATCGGAAATACTTGTCATGTCGGAACATTCTAGAAAGAATGTTGCCATACGTCTAGAAGAGTAGATAACTAGGCTCTGGCCCGCTACTAACCTATGTTCGTCACTGTATTGTTATTATTGGTCAATAAACACACACGAGAAGACCGACACACACACACTCCGTCCCCCACAAGCCCTCGACAACAGTCTCCGGTTAAGGTAAGTTTCTTCAGCATATCTTCACAATACCCATGAAGGATTTGCATCCTGAGCACTGCTAGCTGACCACAAACAGTCGTTGCATGAAGCATGATTTTTTGCAGTTACCGAATCACGATTCTGATCCATCCGCTGCGAAATCACTGAAGACAGAGTTGGACCGGGAGGAGCATGCAAAGTATGTGGCAGTCGTTAAGCGCAAGGTTTGTTTGTTCTTGCTTTGCCCGTGCTGAATCTCTTTCGAACTTTGCTCTCCAGAAAATGCCTAGTTGTCATCCTCTCGCCCTATCAGTTGATATGCGTCAAAATGCACCTATTCGAATAATTTGTGCGGCCAGACAAGCGTGAAAGTAACTTGAAAGTGTGTGTGTGTGTGTGTGTGTGTGTGTGTGTGTGTGTGTGTGTGTGTGTG